CATTGAGTTCTGCTCCAAACGATTGAGTTCTGGCGGATCTATCATTATTCCCTGGCGCGCTCCCCCTTGCGTCGGCCGGGGTCGGCGGATTTGTGATATTGCGTGCATGTTTGTTGCGTGCAGCGCCAGGTTCCAGTCAACTTCAGTATGGTGTGCCCACCATCGCCGCCCGTTTCCTTGGAACAAAATCCACCCATCCAATTTGCCAAGAGCGCCCAAGCCGTCCCAACGAAACCAATTCTAGGGCGGAGATATGTCCCACAAGATTTCAACCAACAGCACTTGGAATCAAAGAGCCGACCATGGTGCGCGCTACCACCCAGCTGACTGCTGGAGTCACCTTTGCATTGCCCACAAAATCCGCATCGTCGTCACACTTACATGCCAGAACCTTAGCCTGTCCGGACCTGGACCAAGCTTGAGAATAATTAAGCGCTCAATATCATCAACAAGTGCGTCACCAGTGACCTTCAGGGCGTGAGGGAGCGAAGCTGGGACAGAGAGGAATCCGCTACATCTAAGAGGTAAACATGTACACACTATGAAAGCATTGGAGTGCCTAATAAACAGCTAAACGCTTTCCTCGCAGGATCCTTTCTACAAGCTTCGCCAGGACACCAGACATCACCAGACCAGTGAACCAGATTTGCCCGTTGGCCAGGAGATTCAGATGCAATGCAATATCCACGCAGACATGATTCGCTCAGAGGTTCAATAGTGCAAACATATGCAAACATAGTTCTTTTTTCAGTTTTGAAGAGGAGAGCTTTGTGCAGGTCTCAAACATGTGCCAGGAGACAGGGTTTTGCTGACTCTAACTTGAGACAGGTTTCTTTTAGGCTTCTTGCTTCAAAGAGTTTTCCTTCAAGCCAGGCGACGCCTTCAAGATGTGATTGACAAGATGCAAGACACAAGGGATGAGGAGACAGGGCAGGTGCCGTTTGGATCCTTTCAGGATCTCTGTGCGTTTGCCCGCCTTCTCTCTCGACGAAGCCAAACAGGAACGTTTCATGACGTTTCTGGCTTCTAACCTGCGTGTTTGTTCCCGTTCATGATAGACGGAATGATGTGAGTGGTGTTTATACCAGTACCAAGATGTCTTAAGTCTTTGAAGTCTCTTGAAAGTTGACACTCCTCTGTACCCATCGGACACCTGTTGGTGCATTTTCCACCCGCTTTCAACCTCTCGGTCAATGTTAAATGAGTTAAATGCGAAAACAGGCTGAAAAGCAACGGCGCGGTTAGTGAAGGCGACAGAAGCTGCTTTGAGTTCAGTCAAGTCAGTCGCAGGTGCAAACAATGATGCGGGCCTTGGACATGAAGGTCAATGAGTGCCATCAAAAGCTGGCCCCCGCCTCTGAACACTACTCACCACTCGATTCAGAATTAGCTAGGCAGCTAGGGGTTGGGAATGCATGGGTTGGGGGATGGGCGGGAAGGGCTACCGAAGCTGTGTGATTCGTGATATCATGTGTCATTTGTCATCTTTTGTTTCCTGTACACTGTATATTCAGCTTTTGCTCCAGTTTTTGGCATTTTGCCTCTAGCGGTCATCCAGTGGCTGAGCTCTGTAATACCGCTCCTTCCGCACCCAGCTGTGATGTTCCTTCTTTTGGCTTGTCCGCTTGACGGAAGCATGAGTTGACATGGTTTTGCTGTCTTCGCTGCAGCAGTCACTTTGCCTTCGCCGGATTTTTGCTGAACATTCAAATCTACGGATAGGCCACTATCTGCCTTTGGCGAACTTTTCTTCGGTGGGCGCTTTGCGCCTGGAACACTGCCTCCAGCCATTCATTGCTATGAACCCAGGCTATGGCAGAGCAAGACTACACACACATGGTGTCGTCACCGGGGTTAAGGTGTGCTTTGCAAGTGCCAGATGGTCACACTTGTCTCCCGATTAGGCCTTGCTGCATCCTAGAATCTTGCATGAGTCTTTGCTGCTGCCGCTGCCTGTGTGGCTGCAGTATGCTGCAATTAGGTGTCCAAGCTTTTAGTCCTATCCAAATTAGGACTTCAAAGCTCAGAGTTGATTGGGATCCAACAATTGATAAACCATGATAAACCCTTGTGGTTGACGGACAAGGAGCGGCGCTGGTGCCGCTCGGTGCCACGCGAGGGTGCTGCTGTGAGGTGTCTTCGGCTGTGTCACAGACTCTTGTTACATCTTGTTACTAGTAGTGGCCTCCAACCTAATAGCGATGGCCTCCACCTAGTAGCTTCTTGTTCCTACAAAGGAATCTCCAGATCTCCTAGAAAGCTTTCTTGTTACATATGAAACGAATCCCAGTGAACCGATTCCCAAGGAAGCTTCTTGTTACTAGTAGCGATGCCCTTGTTACTACTAGCTTCTTGCTACCGCCAGATGGTCCCAGAGTGTCCCATGATGTTTGTAAAATGTGTGAGCTCCGTTCCTAAAGTTTCCTTGCTCGAGAACATGTGGTGGTATACTTCTCAGTCTGTTGCAGAATGTCCGGTACAGAAACCTCGTGACCTCGTGCCAATCGCGACAAGCTACCAAAATTAGGAACATGGGCTTCAAGATCTGGAAACATGTAATTTAGAGAATACACGGAAGCGTGAGGCATTTCCGAGAATTCTGGAAACACGACGCTTCTTTGGAAGAATGTGTGAAAGAGAAATTGTGGACAAACATGGGTCCCTTGAGCTCCCTGCCACGTCTCGGCGGCATCAACAAAAACCACAGCTTGGGTTTGACGTGTATCCAGCATCAAGTTGGGAACAGCAAAGAAGTTTCATGCCAATGGAACCAGCTCGAATCCAAACAGTTACGTTTCACACCAGATTTAAGCCAGTCAAGTGCAATCCCAGAATGCCAAGGAGAACAACGGGCAATCAGAGAAGGCGTTAAAAGAAGATCTCTTAGGGCCTTGGGCTTTGCAAACTTGAAGGTACTGAGAAGATACTTCAAGAAATTATTGCGTCAGGCCCGCACAGGATACTGAGAGACTTCCAATGAACAGAAGCATGCATGCAAAGGAAGGGCATCACTTTGCCAAGATGTAGCAAGACACTGAGACAGCTGGATGCTCTAAGTTGTAACTACTCCACAAGCTCTACGAGTCTACAAGACGCATGCAATTGAACACCGAGAAGGTGTGGGGTGAACACAATGTTGCCGTCCACCATGAAGGGAGGATGTTCCTAGGAGGATAACCGAATACACTTGTATATGCTTATTGCGAAACATCGCAGAGTCAGAGTGGATGCCTCCGTTTTGTGACTGCACTCTCAACAAGATCCGCCAGCTGTGTCACTGTGTCAATAGTGTCGCAAACTTAATGTATGTTTTCTTATGAACTATTTGCTTAAGCTCTCTTTGTCCGGTGTGATGCAGCTTGTAACTAGGGCATTGTTTCCCAAATCAGTTGCCGAGTTTTGAGCGAGGTGGAACTACTCAACGATGACTCCAGCAAACCAATACATCCTGCAGACCTTGAGGCCCGATTATGCGCTTGACCGTAATTGGGGCGTGCTTGCTTCAGAGCTGCGTGTCAAGGTATTCCAAAAAGAGCTGGAGGCAGAGCGGGTTTGTCGCAGTAGGAACCTCAGTTGCGCAGCCGCCTTCAATCTTTCACGTTGGCTTCAAGCTCTGTGTGGTGCTTTGGCAAGGCAGCCCTTTGATTTCCACTCTGCTTTTCGGGAAATGTAGCTGTAGCTAACGGCTCTACACACTACACAGTTTGTTCCAAGAATGCTGTAGGATGTTCCAACTCATCACGCTGTGTGCGCGCCAAGCGCAGTGAGGGTTTTCATTCCCCAAACAGTTTACTGTTAGGGGTTCTCAATTCTTTCTTAAGATGTGTCCGCCTTGCTGCGGGACAACACAAGGCAGACACAGTGACCAACAAGAAGGGAGACAAGACCGGAGACAAAGGGAGACAGCAGGCACGCAAGGCGGACACAATGACCAACAAGGAAAGAAACAAGAAGGGAGACAAAGGGAAACAGCAGGGACACAAGGCGGACACAGTGACAAGGGAAAAAGAGACAGAAGGGAGACGAGGCGGACGCAGTGACCAACAAGAAGGGAGACAAGACCGGAGACAAGAAGGGAGACAAAGAGAGACAAAAAGGGAGACAAGGCGGACACAATGACCAACAAAAAGGGAGACAAGAAGGCCAACAAGAAGGCCACCAAAACAAGAAAGGACACAATGACCAACAAGAAGGGAGACAAGAAGAGAAACAAAAGGAGACAGATGGAAGACAAGACGGACACAGTGACCAACAACAATGGAGACAAGACCGGAGACAAAGGGAGACAAGAAGGGAGACAAGGCGGAGACCTTGACCAACAAGCAGAGAGACAAGAAGCAAAAGGGAGACAAGGCGGACACAGTGACCCACAAGAAGGGAGACAAGACCGGGGACAAAGGGAGACAAGATGCAAACCTTTACATTTGTATCCAGCTCTGGGCTGAAAAGCGAGAAGGGAGACAGAAGGGAGACAAGACGGAAAGGAGACAAGGCGGACACAGTGGAAGAGAGACAAGACCGGAGACAAAGAAAGAGAGAAGGGAGACAAGGCGGACAGAATGACCAACAAGAAGGGAGACAAGAAGGAAACAAAAAGGAGACACATGTAAAGGACTGCAAGGCAAACGGACACAGCAGCCCAGAGCTGGGAGACAAATGTAAGGGATTGCAAGGCCGAGGCGGACACAGCAGCTCAGAGCTGGGAGGCAAATGTCAAGGATTGCAAGCAACCAAGAAGGGCGACAAAAGGAAACAGAAGGGAGACAAGGCGGACACAGTGACCAACAAGAAGGGAGACAAGACCGGAGACAAAGGAGACAGAAGGGAGACAAGGCGGACACAATGACCAACCAGGATGTGTCCCCCTTGTGTCCC